CACATAACCCAAGAGCATCCAACAAATCCTATAATTCAGTCATTAAACCAACTGTCCAAGCTTTGCTGCCAAAGTGTCACAATCACTAAACATAAGAGTTTTCAAGTATAGAACACCATTAGGACTTTATAGTGTGTCCACATGAATATGGCACAGTGATGGAGTAATCTCAGAAGGAAGAAATAGATCTAGGAACACAAATATAACGAAAGAAAGGAACTTGGCCAAAGATATCAGGATAATAATGGAGACCGTAGACTTTAGAAGCAAGGGAGTACTGAACACCTGCTTTCAGATAAATCATCAAATCAACTACAGTTGTTATCTCAATGACCACTCAATGGCTTCGAGGTAGCAGACAGAGGCATTCTGCAAAAGCACCTGAGTAAAGACAGATCCCAGATGAATAAGGAGGACTGTAAGTGTAAGCTCCAAACACTCCTGGTAATATTTATGNGTCCAAACACTCCTGGAAAACTTTATGTGTAACCCATATGAATCTGTGGAATAGAGAGTGTTTATGGAGCTGATGTTCCATGTCAGACCCAGCAAAAGGTAAATACAATTTCGTGACACTGCCTTCCATCCATAATCATCATTGTAGTACTCAAGCTATAATGATTTGAAATGGCAGAGTAATAGACATTTCTGACAGTCACTTAGAGGCTATTGATTTCACTATGATGTTTTGTCTACAAGCATTAATTTAGCTAGAATTAACTTACTAATCATAAAGAAAAAGGGAAACAATAAGATACCTCTGCATCCTTTTCAGTACTCGACGTTGTTCTTTGGAAGGAACAAATTCACCTGCTCTGAGACGGATAGTGTAAGATGGACAGCATGTCTTCTCCATCTCAGGCTTGTATAAGAAACAGCCAGATCTTCTCCATCCTCTGTCTAGAAGAGCTACAAAATAGAAAACCAATATACAACCATGTAACAAAAAAAACTCATATAATCTACAGTGTCTCTGCAATCAGAATTCAGAATCACATGACAAAGACAGGCTGTTGCTTCTATGCATATGTACATGGGAGAGGTGTTCATTCTCAACGAGAAGAGATGCTGCATCTGCATGTGCTACAAATCTCTTAAACAGATTATGAAACTTAAAATACAGCATACGTAGTAAGGGTAGCTTAATCAGGTAGTACCGTAGTAGTCTATGTGCATATAAAGTAGGCAAAAAGTAAAGCCACATATGTGGTCATTCCGCATAGGTCTTGGTGGGCAGAGTTCCATAGTATCTGTGCTGGTGAGAGGCGGCACGTAAGGGTGTTCATAAAAACCCGAAAAACCAAACCAAACCGAAAACCGAACCAAACCGACCAAAAAACCCGATATTTTTTGGTTTGGTTTTTGTTTAGAATTTTTGAAACCGATCAAATTTGGTTTGGTTTTGGTTTTAATAAAAAAAGTAACCGGACAAAACCGAACCAAACCAACTATAGAAGTAGCTATTTAAAAATTATCATTACACTTATATATATATATANGTGATTGGTAGTTTTCTTTTGCCAAGTACAAGAATCTATTTCACGTTAAAAATAATTTTAATTTTAATTGAGTCCTTAAATTATTGCCAAGTACAAGAATCTATTTCACGTTAAAAATAATTTTAATTTTAATTGAGTCCTTAAATTATTCATCACTATTTGATTCAATTATCGTCAATATATCTTGGTAAATGATAGATTTCTCAAAGAGCAATTGGTTTAGTGTTTGGTAGTGTAGAAAAAACCAATAAATAACCAAAAAAATCGTAAAACCGACATAAACCGAATCGATAAAAAAACCGACTTAATTGGTTTGGTTTGGTTCCAATATTTGAAAAATCGACTTACTTGGTTTGGTTTCTTTTTAGGGAAAAACCAACCCAAACCAAACCATGAACATCCCTAGTGGCAGGTATCTGATGAAATAGTTGAGGTGCGCAAGCTGGCACGGACATCACTGTCATAAAAAAAAGTGTGGGCCCATTCTATTCTATCAGAAAGAGAGAAAGTTGCGAAAACTATATGTTCCATATAGAGTCAAATGTCAATGCCTTAGTTATCAATTTATCATTCAGGGGAACTCCAAGGTAAGTAATAATATCGCATACTACCATGCTTCAGGCAATCAGACACAATGAGTTTAAATGGTCAACAAAAATCTGGGCGCTACTGTTTGAATGACTGTTAATTTACTAACCTTGATAGTCATCAACTGTCAGACTGCGTGCCCATACACCTGCAAAGAAAGCAAATAAGTTTAAAAAAAAGGTCTAAGTGAAGTATTGATGCAGGTATCTCTGCTTGGACAGTGAAAGCAAAATATCAATCAATTAACTATGCCTCAATCCCGATCTAGTTGATGTTGGCTATAAGAATCCTCTATATCCATTCAATATTTCAAACCCCTAAATTAATTAAGAGACAAACTAAGGTTTCTTTAAAACTAGAGATTCTCTAAATTTCACACTTATCCTACCAATGACATACATTTTCTAAACAAACTAGAGAAACTCCTGGCAAACACCTAATCTAGAGTAACAACAACTAAGTCTTCCAAGTAACGAGTATCCCCCAATGTAGAACCTTTGCTTTTATAGTGCTTTGCTCTTATTCAAGTCCTCATGAATTCGGAGAGATTGTAAATCTTACCATTAGATTGCACCATGTAAATGAAAAATCTACAAAATAAGCCAGCACTTTCTCTCGCAACTACAACTTGCGTGTCTAAATATGTCCAGAACAATATAACTTGCACAACTAACAATCCTGGCACCTAGCTCAAATGGTCTTCAAATCCGATCCTCCGATCAAGTGTTTAATCATAATTCAACAGGATTGCATCAACTATTAGTACGCTAAATAGCCATGCTTACCGTGAGAGATACTAGTAGGGCCACCAGATTTACAGTAGCCACATGTGTTCCTACGGCGACCAACATCAGCAACCACAGTTTCGCCCCTGCTGTTTCCACCACCGCTGCTATTACTGTTGCTGCTGCTGGCTTCACTTCTCATCTTCTTCTTCTCAGACATCTTAGATCTTTATTCAAATCATCACAGCCACCATGATTTCTAGGTTTTTTTTTTGGTCCTTAACAGAAATGAGAAAGCGAAAAACCAACGAAATTGGATAGGCGTGATTTGCTTCGCCGAATTGAATGAGGGAGGGGTGGTTGGTATGATACAGATAAATTTCAACTGTAGAACAAGTCGTAATGGTCTCCTTTGGGGACATTATTAATAAGAGAACAACAATTTGCAAGGGAATATGCCCATTTTCGTTTAACTGCGTGCTTCGTGTGCAAGTTACTTTTTTCCCGTAAAATTTCTTTTTGAGGAATCAGAGGAAAAATGATAGTAAACGACTAAACGTTAAGAAATAAATCTGGTAAAAATCAAATAATTAGAGGTAAGAAATAATAATTTTTAGCCAAAATTGTCTCTTATCTTTGGTTAAGTCTAACTTTATTCTTTATCTATTGGCCTGAGCACTTATTGTCCTTTAAGTTTGCTAAACTTGAGTAGGTTTAGTCAATTTAACAAAAGACCCAAAAGGAGACCTAAAAACTAACACTAATTTCACTGAGTTAACTGGGTAAAAAAACTTTCAGTACTTAAATTTTGCAGAACCGATTTAGTGAACCTAAACATGTTTAACGGGCCGGATTGACCCGGTTCCGGACCGGCCTAGATCGGTAGTAAACCAGACCAGCCCGAACTGGTGGAAGGGGGCCGGGTAGGGCTGGGTTTGGGGGGTTAGCCCGTATATATTTTTTTACCGGTTAACCGGACTGGTCAAACCCGATCAATAAAAATTATCGTTGAATCGGTTAACCGGACCAGCCCGGTTGAGAAAAATAGTGACTGGTCGGTACCAATCCTGGTCGGTTGCCGAGTTTTTAAAATCGGGCTTAACTAGTCCTGGCCCATCCGGTGAAAAATTAAACCGGAACGGTTCCGGGCCTAAGGGGCCGGATTCCGGGCCTAAGGGGCCAGCCCACCCCTTTGTCACCTTTAAGATTGTAAAAACAAGTGTGATAATTTAAAAAATAAAAATAAAAAAATAGTCGGTTCAAAAGTAATTTTCATTGACCGGGTTTGACCGGTCCGGTTAACTGGTAAAAAAATATATACAGACCAACCCCCTAACCCTCAAAACTCAATCCTACCCGGCCCCATTCCACCGGGTCGGACCGGTTTACTACCGGTCTAGGCCGGTCCGGAACCGGGTCAACCCGACCCGTTAAACAGGTTTAGGTTCACTACATCGGTTCTGCAAAATTTGAGTACTGAAAGTTTCTTTACCCAGTTGACTCAATGAAATCACTGTTAGTTTTTAGATCTCCCTTTGAGTCTTTTGTTAAATGGACTAAACCTGCTCAAGTTTAGCAAACTTAAAGGACAATAAGTGCTCAGGGCAATAGATAAAGGATAAAATTAGACTTACCCCCAAACATAAGGGACAATTTTGACTAAAAACTCTAAGAGATAATGTGGTAGCATTATGTTATACTAGTACTAGTTCTTTTGTTTCTTTTCTTTTTTGTATTTTTAAGTTTTGACATGCCCTTTAAAATTATTAGTGGCAACAACTCCCATAGAGATGCACATTCTATGCGTTTGGATATGATCTAGTTGAGATATAAAAAGAAATGTGTATTTGAAGTTGAAGTTGCAAAGAGTATTTGGAAGAAAATAATTTTAAAAGTATTAATAGCACATTAGGTATGCATGTCCTCTTAACAAAAACAATAACAACCCAATGAAATCCCACAAGTGGAGTTTGGGGAGAGTAGCGTGTATGCAAATCTTACCCCTACCCCGAGGGAGCAGAGAGATTGTTTCCGATAGACCCTCGGCACAAGAAGACGAAAAGAGACAATATATCAGTACCAGCAATAGAAACCAGAAAAATAATAAAAGCATCATAAGAATCAGAAAATAAACGGAAAAAATAATAACAATAACCTGTAAATACGGCTCGATACTATGAAAAATGGAAGAATAGTGTGAATACAAATACGAACCACTAGCAGTCTAAAACTAAACACTATCAGCCTAGCCTCACACTCGATACGAAGTAGGAAAATGTATAACTACCTTCTAACCTACAACCCTAATACTCGACCTCCACACCTTCCTATCAAGGGCCATGTCCTCGAAAATCTAAAGTTGCGCCATATCCTGCTTGATCATCTCTCCTAATACTTCGTAGGCCGCTCTCTACCTCTTCTCATACCCGCCAAAGCCAATCACTCACACCTCCTTACTGGGACGTCTGGGCTTCTCATTCGCACGTGCCCCGAACCATCTGAGCCTCGCTTCTCGCATCTTGTCATCCATGGGGGACACACCTACCTTCTCCCGAATATCTTCATTCCTAATCTTATCTATCCTAGTGCGCCCGCACATCTACCTCAACAATATCATTTCTGCTACTTTTATCTTTTGGATATGTCAATTCTTAACTGTAAACACTCTGCCCCATATAACATGGCCGGTCTAACCATCGCTCTCTAAAACTTACCTTTGAGTTTCAGTGTTACTTTCTTGTCACACAGTACTCCAGATGTTAACCTCCACTTCATCCACCTCACCCCTATACGGTGAATGACATCCTCTTCGATCTCTCCATCCCCTTAGATAACCGACCCAAGATACTTGAAACTTCCTCTCTTGGGGATGACCTGTGATTCAAGCCTCACGTTCATGCCCACTTCCCCCGTCACATCGTTGAACTTGCACTTCAGGTATTATGTCTTAGTCATGCTCAACTTGAAACCCTTAGACTCAAGGTCATTTCTTCAAACCTCCAACCTCTCGTTAACGCTGCCTCACGTCTCATCAATCAGAACTATGTCATCGGCGAATAACATACACCATGGAACCTCCCCTTGAATATGGTGTGTTAGTGCGTCCATCTCCATGGCAAATAAGAACAGGATGAGCGCAGATCCTTGGTGTAACCTCATAACAACTGAAAAATACTCAGAGTCACTTCCCACTAACCTCATCCGAGTCTTAGCTCCATTATACATGTCCTTAATCACCCTAATGTAATCTACCGGCACACCATTGACCTCAAGGCATCTCCAAAGAACCTCCCTAAGGACCTTGTCATACGCTTTCTCTAGGTCAATAAACACCATATGCAAATCTTTCTTCTTATCCCTGTACTGTTCCACCAACCTCCTAATAAGGTGGATAGCTTCCGTAGTTGAACGACACGGCTCGAACCCGAACTGGTTATCGAATATAGACACCAACCTCATCACCCTCACTTCCACCACGCTCTCCCAAACCTTCATGGTATGACTTAGTAACTTGATACCTCTATAGTTGTTACAACTATGAATATTACCCTAGTTCTTGTACAATTGTACCATCGTACTCCACCTCCACTCTTCCGACATCTTCTTTATCCTGAAAATAATATTAAACCGCCTAGTTAGACACTCCAAACCTGCTCTACCTACACCCTCCAAATTTCTACTGGAATTTCGTTTGGTCCGGTCACTCTGTCCCTACTCATCTTACGCATAGCCCTCATGACCTCATTAACCTTAATGCGCCTACAATACCTAAAGTCTCGGTGACTCTCGGAGTTCCCTAATTCACCTAGCACAATGGCCATCCCCCCCCCCCCCCCCCCCCCCCCCCCCTCTTCATTCAGAAGTTTATGAAAGTAAGTCTGTCATCTCCGCTTAATCTGAGCCTCTCCTATCAATACTATATCGTCCTCGTCTTTGATGCACCTCACTTGGTCCAGATCCCGAGCCTTCATCTCTCACCTTGGCCAACTGGAATAATATTTTAGCTCCGCCTTCGTCCCCTAGTTCCTCGTATAGATGACCAAACGATGCAGTCTTTGCCTCCGTGATCGCCAACTTCATCTCCTTCCTAGTTACCTTATACCTCTATCTGTTTGCTCTCCTTTCCTCCTCGTCTGTGCTCTCTACTAGCTTCAGGCACACCGTTTTTTTTCGCTTCCACTTTACCTTGGGCATGTCCTCTTAACTTACCTGAAAATATCTCCATGATCATAATGTAAACATTTACATTCAATTGGATTCAAATTACTAAGAAATATGGACCATATTTCAAATTCAAGACATATTAGTCTAAACAAATATTATGATATAATAAAATCGAACTAGTTAATTAAATTTAATTTACTGCTATACTAAGAAGTGATAGGATGCCCGAAGAGTGGAGGAAGAGTAGCCTGATTCCAATTTATAAGAATAAGCGAACTATCATGGCATTAAACCCATGCGTCATATAATGAAACTCTAGGAAAGAGTGATAAAGCGTAAACTTAGAAATAAGACAAAAGTGATAAAGAATCATTTTGGATTTATGTCTGGTATCTACGACATAAGCTATATTCTTACTAGGAAGATTGATGAAAATAAATACCGAAAGAAAGAAAGATTTATACATAATGTTTATTGAACTAGAGAAAGTATATGATAGAGTCCCACAAAAGGTCATTTGGTGGGTAATGGGAAAAAAATAAACCTTAAGGATATGTATGAAGGAGTTGTCACTAGCGTAAAAACAGTATAATAAAGATAGATAGGAGTTTCTCATAATAATGGGTTTACACCAGGGTTCTACATTTAGCCCCTACTTATTTACTCTAGCTATAAATGAGCTAACCAATGCAATACAAGATGAGATAGTATAGTATATGTTATTTATTGATAATATTGTGCTAATTGACAAAACTAGGGAGGGTGTCAACCAAAAGCTTGATATATGAAGAAGCATCTTAGGGAGTAAGAATTTTAGGATAATGTCACGACCCAAAATTTTCCACCGACGGGACCGTGATGGCGCCTAACATTTCACTTGCTAGGCAAGCCAACGTTAGAAAATCATTAAACCAATTCCTTATTTCCATTCAGTAAATAACAATAATTAACTAAGATGAAATATAATAAGTGCGAAATATTATAAAACTGTATTAATTACTACCACCCGGATCTGGAGTCACAATTCACGAGCATTCTAGAATTTACTACAAGTAATAGTCTGAAAGAAATACAATTGTCTGAATGAAAGAAACAGTAGAACAGAAAAGATAGACGGGGACTTCAAGGTCTGTGAACGCCGACAGATCTACCTTGAGTCTCTGGATAGCGGTCCAATAGCAAAATCTCGATCAACCTGAGCCGGTATCAAAATCTGCACAGAAAGTGCAGAGTGCAGTATCAGTACAACTGACCCTATGTACTAGTAAGTGTCGAGCCTAACCT